CATTAATAAATGTGAGGAAATTTCTTGCAATTGTTCAATAATTATCAAACAAACATGCACGGACATAGTATGTATATCTGTTTCGTACTCATTTTTTTATATTAAGCTAACAAAACCAAAATATATAAAAAAGATTAAGTTATAGCAAACACAAGATCAAGCGCAAGTGATATATGAAGGATTGACAATCCCAATAAAGGCGAAACACTAAGCCTACACATAAGGGGTAAAGTTGAAGAATGAAGATTGATCATAGAATGGTTTATTGGTAGAAAAAGATGTATATAACCGATGTACTAAATAAAATTATCTTATTTTAAAAAAGACTATCACCGAAGGCAAGAAGTTGAAACGGAAATAATTTTTTTTGGGCATCATAATCGTTTATTTTTTATTTTTTAAAAAAATTATGACAAAAAAATAAAATAACTAATGGTGAAATTTTAATTGATAGGTAACATTTAAAGTGAACAGTAAGTCTCAAGCTTGATAGTGAACACTGGAAGTAAACTTTTGAGACATGTCCATGAGTATTGATGACACTTCATACTTAAGAGTCATAGGAATCTTTGATAATGCACTCATAAAAAGAATCTTATAACAAATAACTACTTAATATAACATAGCAAAAATGCATTTATTAATATTTAAAAATTAAAAATTTGCAATAAAGTTATGTTATGTCCAGTCATATCCCTGTTGATTGACTTAAAGGCATATTACTTGTCTCTCAATAAGGGAATATTGCATGTCCATCAAATAAAAATAAAAACAAGACCATTCTGAATGATAATCCAAAAATGATTAAGTTACTTTCTTTTTACCTAAAATTTGTATTGTAAAAATAAAAATTATTTAGAAACTTTTTTTGATGATTTTATTGCAACCATGAGACTTTATAGAGTGAGAAGTAAGAATAATTCACAATACAAAGATATCTTATATTCAAACTAGAAAAATGATCAAAGAGAAACATAATGTTGCATAGCAGAACAACAAACCATGTACCCGTGGCTATCTGAAATGCCACAAGAAAAATCTCTGTTAGCTTGTTGCAAGACGCTTGCATGTGGAGTTAATTGTTAGAGTCCTCAATAGTTTGGACTACTGACACTTGTCTACATGCTACAAGACATCTCCACTTTGTCCTTTAGTCAATTCACAATTCTAAATGCAAAAAATAACAAAAGAAGAAATTATATGCACATAATTATTCTAACAACTTTCCTCAAAATAAGGTCGTAAGAGTTAAAAGTTGTATCAAGATTTAATGAACACCAATTGAGAGAGAAGCTTGATAAACATGTTTACTATTTAATTTTGAGAAGAACTTATATGACATGTAGTTTTCTTGACGGTAGTAAGTTTCCGAGCAAAATAAGAATTTATTTTTAACATGTTTAGTTCGTGCATGAAAGATTGAATTAGTAGTAAAATAAATTATACTTACATTTTCATAATATACCCATTTATCACCTATTATTTCCATAGAATCAGTACTAAAGTGCATGTGTTATTCTTGACTTAAGCTTTAAATTCTTCACATAACGGATTGCTTTATTCCCTATAGCATTGAACTTTAGAGTTGTGTTAAAGGTATTGAAGTGGTCAGAAGGGCCTATATATAAATCATATTAAAAAGTTAAAGTTGCAGATCATGCAATCATTCAAATGGGATATAAACATAAGACATAACATACTATTGAGACAAAGTTAAAGATTTAGAGAAACTCGGCAGAGAGACATTACAATAAATAAGATAGATGTTACACTTTTTTTACTTCTTATTTATTGTAATATCTATATATATATATATATATAAATGATCGATGATTTTGAGGGTT